CACTTGAGGCCTTATCAGTGTGAAGTAGAGCAGAAGAATTACTTCTTGTGTCTTCCTTACAACACTCCTGCTAATACATCCCGGAATGATGTTCACTTTATTGCAACAGTGTTACACTACTGACCACATTTAGCTTGTGATCCACTGTGACCCCCATCCCTTTCCACAGTAATCTTCCCATTTTGTATGTGTGCAATTGATTGTTCCTTTCTACGTGGAGTACTTTGCATTTGTCCTTATTGAATTTCATCCTATTTCCTTAAGACCATTTCTCCAGATCATTTTGAATTTTAATCCTATTCTCCAAAGCACTTGCAACCCCTCCCAGCTTGGTATCATCCGCAGACTTTATAAGTGTACTCTCTGTGCCATTATCTACATGTTATGTTAGTTCTTTGTGATGTGAAGGAATAAAGACCCAGCTTTGAATTCCACTCACATTCCTGTTAGAAGCTTGGGTCAAAGTACAAACCAGTACCACAAGAATGAATGGTGAGCGCTTTAGTCTTAATGAAAAACAGACCCTAGATATACTAGACATTTTGTGCAAGACTTTCATCAAAGGAAGGTTAAACTACACTGCTATTGAAATACAGGGAATTCCTTACAGCTAGGAACAAAAGGACAGACCTTATCTGAAGCTAGGATTCTGAAAGAAGCTATGACTTGCTCAGCTGTGTCTGTGTCCGCAGTCTCTCTGGTCATGAAGTCAATGAAGGACTGGAAAGAGACGGTTCCCTGCCCATTGGGATCAACCAGGGACATAATTCGGGCAAACTCTGCCTCACCCTTTGACGAAATTCAAAAAGAAAAAGACAGTAACTGTAAAACCAAACTTCAACATAATGTATGTCTATGACATACTACTAGAGGCTCTGGGTAAAAATTATAAAAATACTTAAGTGACTCAGAAGCCTAAGTCTCATTTTCAAAATTTACTTAGGAGCCTAAATGTGACTGAAAGTCAATAGGACTTAGGAGCAAAAGTTCCTACATCACTCTTGAAAATGGGATTTAGGCACTTTTGAAAATGTCCTAAAAGCACGGTACGTGCCCTTCAATTAACTTTCTGCTTCCTGAAATATTTTCTACACTAAATCTAAATTATTTTTAATAGATCATTAATTTCCATCTTTTTCAAAAATAGTGACATGATATAGTTTTGACTTAATCCTTTATTTAAAAAAATCTTCTCTCTGTTTTTAGCACTCTATCAAGCTCCTCTCCTACTAGCGGCTCAGTCCTGAAAAGAGCTGAGCACTCTCGCCTCAGTCCAGCAAAGCACTTAATCAGCATATGCTGAACTTAAGTTGCACTGAGTCCTTGGCCTTGACCAGGGTAAGTGAAGCTGCATGGGTATATGATACACATTCATACACCAGCGTCTCCCCTGTTACAAATGTGTGAAAAGTTTGTTTATCTTTTCCATTTCTCTTCCTTTGTACAGTATAACTAGTCTCCAGAGGTTTCACTTTCTCTTTATAATTAGTATCACTTTCTGCACTACCATAACAAGGCTGTTGCATTTGGGACAACATTGAAGAGGAATGGTTAAACATATTCAAAAGTAATGAAAACATTTTGATTCTTATTAAATTTGAAAAGTGCCCCCTCACACATTTTTTCAAACAGAATCTAAATTTGGGGCCTAAACTGAGCTGTTACTTTAATGCAAAGCGTTCAATTAGGGTTACCATACGTCCGGATTTCCCCGGACATGTCCTCCTTTTGTGTGCTAAAAATAGCGTCCGGGGGGAATT